CTCTTTCCCCCTACCTCCTCCTTGTAGGAAGGTAAAAGAATACCTTGAAGTACATTTATTAAGTACACTTAAGAGGAACTGTTGGGTATTCAGAGGGAATTTTTGGTTGATTAAAAGCTAATTTTCATTGTGATGGGAATAGAATTTCAACAGACTAGAAGTTATAATGGACCTATGCTTCTAATTCTAATTCTGCCATTTATTGGGTAAATGTAGCCTTGGGTAAGTCACAGAGCTGGCAGGTTGCTATGTCCAGGAGAATAGTGTCTTGGCCCATTTTGTTTGTTGCTGAATCCCCAGCCCTAGCCCTATGCCTGGCACATAGTTGGCCAATAAGTATTTGTTCAGAACCTTTTGGGGAAAAAATGACACAAAACAGCTAATCCCCGTATTTTCTGAATTCATCAATAGGATTGAAGAGCCAGATTGGGAAAAATGTGGTGGGTCTGGTAGTGTAGAGGAGGTGAGGATGCTGGAGTAGGTCTGGAAACAAGAGTTTCCCATGGCACTGTTGTACTGGGAGGCTGGAATGCTGATGGGACAAAGTGGCATTGAAGAGAGTGCTTCAGGGAGTTCTTTCCATCATTTCTGTTCCAGAAACACAAGTCATCTCGGGACGCAGAAGCACAGTTGGGACTTCCAGGGATGATTGTGCCTCCTCCCTCCCCAGTACACTTGTTTGAAGAACTAAGTTCAGAATGCGTACCTTTATGGAACCAGTATGACATGTTACCTCAGGATCTACTGAAGGAGTAAGTACCATGTAAGCCTGTGGGAGAACCAGAGCATCTTCTTTTCTTCAGAAGCTGAGAAGGGTCTAAGCAGTGTGCTCTTTCTGAGGAGGGAGGGGAGAAAACTGCCACCCTACTTGGTCACTGAGTTCTTGGAATTACCAGTGTGCAGTGATGACAGTAATCACCCCCATCTATTAAGTACACTTACCATCTGCCAGGCCCTGTGCACACTGTGTATCTTCTCTCATTTAAACCTCCACTGGGAGGTAGACATGCTCTTCTTTCTGTAGATGAGTTACGGGTAAGTGGGAGGCAGAATGGATATGTGGTTTGGAGCGAGACAACCTTTGAATTTTGTATTGAAATTTACCGCCTTTGTGAATTTTGACTATTTAGTTAGCATCTTTCATCTTCATTTTCCTCATCTGCAAAATGAGGATAATAATACCTGTCCTTAGGGTGTGGTAACAATTCAGTGGTATAAAACACGTGAGCCTGACATATAGTAAACACTTAATACATTCAGCTACAATTATCATACTTGCATCTCAAAGCCATTACTGAATGAGCACCTGTTGGTACAGGCCTTTTAAGGCCCAGAGTGGACATGTCTTCAAATTTGGAGCCTTTTCATCTCTTTCTCCTCAGCCAAGAAGAGCTGTTGCTGACTTTCTGCTGTCTCTGTTCCCTGCAGCCTCTTGCTGGATAAAGGGAAAACCATACCTTATCTGGAGATGCAGACACAGTTGGCCATGATGAAAAAGAAACCTCCCCTGGTAAAGAGCCGACCTGACAGTGCCATTTCTGCTAAGATGTATTTATCTGTACACTGCCTCACCCTGCAAGTAAGAGCTAGGGAACCTCAGAGGAAGAAGTCTGTATGCAAGTCCAGACTCATCTCTCCTCAAGGCTGGAGGAGTTAACGTTCTATTTCTTCTTTCTCTTCTATCCTTCCACTCTGGATCCAGGCCCCATAGAAGGGCTGGGCTGTATGTAGGTGAAAGCAAATGTACAGGGAGGTTTTAGGAGAGCAGCGTTCTCTATTTCTTCTGCATTTTGCTTCCCACACCTTTCCCCTCTCCAGAGCCCCTGGTACGATGCTGCACACATTGGCTTCTCAAAAAATGTTTGTTGACTAGTTGGATGAATGCATTTGGGGATACATTTTGGGAAAGGGAAAGACCTACAGTAGAGCTTTTCTTCTTCTTTTTTTTTTTCTCTAGAGACCAGCATTGAGATATCCTGAGCATTTGAAGAAACTATATTACAACCTGACAACAGAAGGTAGGTTTTTCTCGTGCTGCTAGATCTCCAGGTATCATTCCCCCCATCAGCCCACATTTCTTATACTTGATCTTGGTCCCATGTTTGTGGCCACAGTCTTATAGGGTCACATGTAGAACTCAGAAAACTGCAGCTTCAAAAAGCACCCTCTGGTTCTGACCAGAGAGTGTCACCATTGGGTAGCAGAGCACAGCAAGCAGCCCTGCGGAAGGGTGGGAGCTGTCAGGGAGAAGGGGATTGAGCTGGCTCTCTGGTCACCAGGTTACAGGAAGCAGCAGTGGCAGCAGCAGAGGAAGCTGAAGACAGCTACTGGGAAACAGGTAGAGTGGCAGCGAGGGGACCCCCAGGACCTGCTAGGATTCGAGCAAGTGGGTGAAGCCTGGAGCAGGAAGGGATGTATGAGAGATGGGATTCTCCCTGGTGTCTGCTGGTTGTAGATGCAAAGTTCCTGTATGGTTATAGATACTAACTTCCTTCCTTTAAACCATTTTTTTTTTTGGCTGTACGTGGCCTCTCACTGTTGTGGAGCACAGGCTCCGGACGCGCAGGCTCAGCAGCCGTGGATCACGGGCCTAGCCGCTCTGCGGCATGCGGGATCTTCCCGGACCGGGGCACGAACCCATGTCCCCTGCATCGGCAGGCGGACTCCCAACCACTGCGCCACCAGGGAAGCCCCCTTTAAACCCTTTTTGAAAAGGTTTCTTCACTTCCTACAGTCCTAATTCAGTTCCCTCTCATGTGGGTTTCAGGAGGCTAAAAAGAAATCCAAGAGTGAACCAGGGAGCCACAACACCTCGCATAAACGTTCAGGTGCCATGGTTTATGACCCACGCTGTGGTAAGGAGAATGTATGGGTTTGGGAGTGACAGAATCCCAGGACCTAGCTAAGGACAGGAAAAGCTGAACACGTTTATCATTTGAGGACCTGCCTTTATCAGGCACTCGGAGTTCCCCTTGGAATACTTTGGTTTGGCTGGTCTACCATGTATCATCCTTCCATCAAATATTTACTAAGCAAGCGAGCTGGTCCAGATGTCTGCTTCACATGGGGATTTGAGAGATGACCATGAACATGAGTCAGAGTCACTTTCCCCTCAGGTCCTACTTTAGAAAAGGCAGCGGTTTGAGGATGAAGAGCTAGCCCAGGTTATTGAAGAGAAGAGCCCTGAGGGCCCATCGGCCAGTAAGGCAGGGAAGAGCCAGGGTCCCTCACCAGAGGGCCGTGAGAGTTCTAAGCAAGCAGAGTCAGCCGCTTCTCAGCCATAGGTTAAAGTCTCAGGAGGCTCACACTATCTAGCCCCATCCAGCAGGCAGGGGCTAATTCTTGACAGGCGATCCTTTTCCTATGGTGTTCATGCCAGAGATAAGAGATTCCCCTTTTTGGAGTTCTTATCATGTCTGAGCTGAAGGATATACTTGCCCTGGTCCCTGTGACATTTCTCAGCTTGAGTGCAAAATGGGAGGGAGGGAGAAAGAATCCCCCTAAACCTTGGAAGATTTTTCTGCCCTAAATAGACTGGACATTGCTGTCTGTAATGTGAAAATAACTGTTTAATCATCAGAATTCACTCTGCAACCCTGAGGCACTGAGGGCTCGAGTGAGATGTTTCCTGAGAAGGATGCTGTTCTTGGTTTATCTCCCATCCCACTGAGGTCTCTGATACCTAAAGTGTCTTCTAACCTGAAGATCTAAGAAGGCTCCTGACCTTCACATGGGAGGTAGACAGAACTGGGGCAGAGGTACTTGTCCAAGGTTAGCCCTGCATCCAGGGTGATAACCAGTCCCCTGAGTTTCATTCTGGTGCCTTCTGTTCCTCTTCCTGATGCCTCCAATAGGAGCAGCTTTGCTTGGATGACTGGGGGGCCCTTTGAATTGTGTTCTTAGAGCAGTGGCTTGTCTTCCTTGAGCTGAGAAAGGCCTCATGAAAGAGATGATTTTTTGTTTCTTTTTGTAAAAAATGTTTAGGCTGCACCGTGTGGCATGCAGGATCTTAGTTCCCCAACCAGGGATTGAACCCGTGCCCCCTGCCCTAGGAGCATGGAGTCTTAACCACTGGACTGACAGGGAAGTCCTGAGGTTATTCTTGCATTGGATCTTGAATATGTGTGAGAGTTTTCCCAGTATGGACGAGAATTCCTGGAAACAGGAATAGGCTGGGTAAAGGCATCTTGGAGGAGCATGGCTGCAGGGAGGAGCATTGAGCAGTCTGACGTGGCTGTGGGGTCAGGTGTTTAAGGGAGAGAGGTAAATCAGGCCGAAGAGCCTGCTGAGATGTTTGATCTTTATCCTTAGTGGTGGTTGGTGATGCTCTACCTTAACGGTGCCCTGAAATCAATTGAGGAGCTTTTAAAAACCCAAAACCCAGGCTGCACCCCAGACCTGTCAAATCAGAGTTTCTGGTGTTAGTATCCAGGCCTCTGTGGTTTTTAGAATGCCCCAGTGCTTCCAGTGTGTGGCTAAGGTGAGGACTAGTGCTGTTAGGGAGCCAACACAAGTGCCGAGCAAGGGAGGTCCTTGATTAGTGTTCCCTTTTACCATCATACCTCTGGTGGCAGATTGGAAGATGTTCATTTAAAGAAAGGGAAACTGAGAAAGGAAAGAATAAGTGCATTTAGGGACTAGTTGGGGAAACATCTGATACAAAAGAATCATAGATCTAGAGTTTTTTTTGGAGGGAGGATGTTCATTTTCAGAAGCCAATGTAGGTACATAGGGATGGCACAAGAAAGTAAGAGCAGTATTCATAGACTGAAAAGGTAGACTTAGAGGTTCTTTTGCTACTATGATGTACAGGCACCTGCCCCTTAGGTTTCATGGAGGAATCCTGGATATTTTAATACAGACTTTATCTTAATCGCTAATTCTGTAATAGGTGTGGTCACAGTCCCAGGTGAACAGAATCACATGTAGAACTCAGAGGGCTTAACTCCCTTTTACCTGCCTCTAAGGTTCTGTATTGTCCTGGATGGGGAGTCACCTGTAGACTAGGGATCAACCAGAAGTCCAACAATGGGATATGAAATACCAATAAGAAGAGAATTGCATTGATTTTGTGGTCACTATAGGTCACCGAACTCTACCAGGTTGGGAAAGTGACAAAAAACAGCAGCAGCAGATGAAGCTAGAAGGCCCCACTTTGAAACAGGTGAGAGTGTCTGAGGTCCATTCTGCTAGGGCTGTTTCAGTTGTCTGTCACTGTATAACAAACCACCCCAAAGCAGAACCATAGTGGTTTGCTATTTCTCATGGTTCTGTGGGTTGACTGGACAGTTTTTCTGGTCTTGCTTAAGGTCACTCATGCAGCGGCATTCAGCTGGAGGCTGGGTTAGGGCTCTTGGCCAAACTGTCTTAGTTCTCTTCTATGAGCCCTCTCCATGTGGCTAGTTTGGGCTTCTTGACAGCATAGTAATCTCATGAAAGCACTTTCCTAGGGATGGGGCTGGAACTGGAACAGTATCACTTCTGCCACATTTTATTTGTCAAAAAAATCACAAGTCTAGTCCAGATTCAAGAGGAGAGGAAATCAACTCCATCTCTTGATGGAAAGAACAGCATGTGCATACAGGAATGGGAGGAATCTTGGCAGCCACCTTTGGAGGCAATCTACCCTTATTTGACAGCTGGAAATGGGGAAAACTGGGTTCTGGCTTCATCTGGTCAGCCTGGAGGTCAAAGAATGCATGACACAAGCTTCTCTTTTTAATCTCAGGAGGTGGCATTTTATTCTGTCTTAGATATTAATTTCTCCAAGAAAAGCATCTTTTAGAAAAGGCCTTTGTTTCCTAAAGTCCTGATTCAAGTTTCCTTACACGTATGAATTTCAGGATTCCACAGAGAGACCACAGATGGACTGCACTAAGAAAAACCTGGATTCCTTCCCCGGTAGGAAGAGTAAGATACTAGGGTGGAGAAACCTTAGTAAGTGACTGAGGACAGGGAGAGCTGAACCTGTGCTGACCAGGATGGTTCACCTCCCTGGAGGGCAGAGCTCTCATCCCTCAGAAGGGTCCTAAAGACATTCCAGCCCTTCCTTTCTCTCTTGATTTTTCACAGTTAGTTGGGAGAAGGCTACAGGTGCAATTAATGGCTGGGTCTTTTTTTAGGTCCTGAATTATCCACAATAGAATGCGCTAACAAGGACATCAGGACTCAGATGGAGATTTTGCTGGAAGCCCAAGAGAGGACCCCAAACAGTACTTCTAGAACAGGCTGGAACCCTGAGCTCAAACTGCTGAGGATTCTTCAGGACACTGATGAAGAGGATGAGGAGAACCAACCCTCTGGGGCACGGAGTGAAGAGTCTCTGGAGGCATAGGCGGAAGGCATCATGGGCAGCCTTATTCCAGAGCAGGATGCTTGGATTCCTGAGGACAGTGACCTTGGACATAAGGGCAGGAAGGAGAGGGGACTTCTACTTCCTGGAGCCTCTACCGGGGTCTGACCTTAGGGATTCTGTTTTCTTCATTCACTTCTACTTGCTTCTAAAATAAGTGAGGGAGAAAAAGCCCCACCCCTTTCTAACTTAGACTCTTTCTCTTCCATTAGGGCCAGGATAATTTTAGTGGTTAAATACAGCTGCTGCTTATCAAAAGACTCATTTCTCTGTTTCTGGGTCACTTTTATCTCCTCTCTGAAACTGAAAGGTTTCTAGTTACAGGAAGATGAATTTGGCCTGTGGGAACCCCTACTGTGTTGCTTTTCCTCTTATTCCCTGGAAATGGTTTATTTTGAGGATGGCATCTGCATCATTATCACATAACATTCATTGTGCTGTGTGTTATGTGTAGTATTCTTTGTGTGGTAGAGGACTCATATTAACCTAAAAGAGTCTAAGGATCCAGTTCCTAAGTACTGAGTCTGCGGGAAAATTTCAGTGATGTTCATAAAGACGCAGAATTTCAGAGTCTCAGGGTTGCTTGTACTTGGTTTTTGGAAGGATTTCTAAAAATGTTTTTGTCCTTAAACTTTTTAGTACAGAAAAATTTCAAAATTACGTAAAAGAGAATAATATAAGGAAACTCAGGATTTAAGTCATGATGATTAGTACAGAGTTTCCTTTTTTTTTTTTTTTTTTGCGGTACATGGGCCTCTCACTGTTGTGGCCTTAGATTTGGGTAATAAAAGCCTGGGCTCCATGCCCCATGAGTTGTTGGGGCCCCAGTATTCTCAGCAGCTCTACCCAAGGTAGAGCTTCCCTCCCACAGTTCGGGCCTGGGTGGAAGAAGAGAGACTCCGCCTATGGGCTGTACTCACAGAACTTAGTCTCAGCGACAGGTAGCTAGGGGCAGGATGAGAAATGATGACATTCTGTTCCTCCTGGAAAGTAGCCCTCTGACTTGGAACTAGGGAGTGAGGGAGCCCTGCATCCTTGGGCGTAGCAGTCTGGAGTCGAGTTGTCCCACTGAAGTAGGGGGAAAGGGTGGGGGAGTGGGCCTAGGGTCACATACTGTAGACTTGCAGTTCTTACTGAGGTTTTGTAGATTTTCTTGAACAAGTGTTTCTTCATTTGTTGTGTGCACTTAGAGCCATTTCCAGAGACTTAAATAAATTAAAATAATTTTCATTAGTTTCACTGGAGAGCTGTTTGTGGAGCTCCTTGCACTGTGAGGCAAGAAGTGGAATTCTGGACTGGGCCTGTGAACTTTTTGTAAAGAGGAACTTACCCTTCATCAATTATTTGGTTACCCTAAGTACAGTTCGTACAAGAGAGGCAGATTAAATGTTCTACCTTTTTTTTAACATTGTCTCAAAACAGACCAAATTAGAAAGCTAAAACTGCTGCCTGTCCGTTCTTCATCTTTTCCAAGCCAAATCAAAATTATATGACATCATTTGTGTTACTTGACTGAACTATATTTAGCTGAATCTTCATGATGAAAGGAATCCAAGAGGCATTATATAGGCTGTTTTTCTGAAAATAATTATTTCTCAAATGTACATTACATTGCAGAATGACTCCTGTGGGCTAACTTAAAAATTTACAACTTTTTCCACTTCTCCTTAGCCTACCCTTAGACCTGTCCTCCCGAGCAAACCCGATTTCCAATGGTCACTAGTGGGGTTGAGGATGGGCAGGGCTTAGTTTTAATTTGCTCATTTTATCTGAAGACTTAGAGAAGGTCTAACTATAGTAAAGCAACTCTCAGAAATTGGAACATTCATTTAAGTTGTGATGATTAGTACAGAGTTACCTTTTTTGTTTGTTTGTTTCTTGCGGTACGTGTGCCTCTCACTGTTGTGGCCTCTCCCGTTGCGGAGCACAGGCTCCGGACGCTCAGGCTCAGCGGCCGGGCCCAGCCGCTCCGCAGCATGTGGGATCTTCCCGGACCGGGGCAAGAACCCGTGTCCCCTGCATCGGCAGGCGGACTCTCAACCACTGCACCACCAGGGAAGCCCCAGAGTTACCTTTTGAATCATGACATATTTTGAGTGAGAAGATATTTGCTATCTGAATACTGGCCTTTGCTTCTATTTTCAAAGAGAGAAAAAATATTGTAGGCTTAAACTTGTTTCATCTTTGTTATGCCAGTCCCTCAAATTTGGATAATCATATACAGAATTTAGGGAAATATCTACATACCACATTACAGTTTTCAAGGCACTTTATACCCACTATTTTTATTGGTTCTCTGGCCAACTCTATAGGTAGGTGTGGATTGTCTCTGTTTTATAGTTTAAGAAACTCAGGCTCAGAATAAAGGGCTGATGATAGCCCATTTGGAGCCTTTGGGTGAATTAGAAAAAAGGGACCCTTTAAGACACTTTACTACTACCTGCTAAAAATTATTTCAATGAATATACAAATCTACGGTGATTACAGTTTGAGCAACACCAACACCCCTAGTGTTGGTCCACTGCACAACAGTACCTGGTGGCCTTGCTGGAGAGGTTAAGTAATTTGCCAGAAATCAAAGACCAGCAAGTGAAGGGGGTTGGGCTTAGAACCTGAGTCCTTGTCTCTTCCACTGTGTTCTGATGCCTCTCTGATTCCCTCTCTTTATGCACAGCTGACAATCTTAATCTGAAAGGAAGGATGAGGCCCTGTAGAAAAGAATCAACTGATGGGGAGGAGCCCTCATGAACCCTTTGTTTCAGCCTCCCAATGTTCTGAGAGAGAAGGAGCCAGGTAACTGTTTCTAACTGCCGTTTCCCCACCATCTGGGCCATAGGAATCAGGAGAATCGAGGCCTAATAGCCAGGAGGCTCCAGCCAGAATCGCTTGGAGATCTACTTTACGCACTTGAGCAGACAGGAGGACTTAAGACTTGGTCTGTTTGAATACTGTTTGGGGAGCCTTTTGTTCCTAAGAAACTAGATTCTGTTTTTTTGTTGTTGTTATTTTCTACTTTCTGTGTGATCTCTACTAGGGATAGGCCACTTTATTTGCTCACCTTGGTTTTCTGAGCATACTTCCCAATGACACCTGGCCCAGTTTGACCTGTGTGCAGAAGCAGTCAGTGAAAGCATCTTCAGACATTCTGTGCCCACACTGTCATCCTTGCAGAGCCAGCTGTGTTTTGTTTTGCTATTGGTCCTGACATCTGGGGTAACAGACTCTGTTCTTCATTGTTTTTGGATTACAGAAAGCTCCCTTTGGAGGGAGGGAGTCAGGGTTTTCATTCACCGTGGCAGTGACCCTTAAAAAAATCAGTGTATTCAAATGTGCCTAAAGGAATTGTTCGCTAAATTAAGGACAGAAATGCCTCTTGCTTTTAGGTGAAAATGATTAGAGGTTCTTTGGAATCCAGAAGAATGTGGGAGAAAAAAATTGTAAATTTTCAGTTGCTATAAGGTACTAAGGTATGAAATTAATTTGCTCTTCTGTTTATACATTTATTTAAAAAATATTAAGTACTTATTATATGTTAGAGGATCAACCCCTAGATTATCTTGATAGAGAAAGGAAATGTTCTGGAGAGATGGTGGGGAGTCATTCATAGGAATATAGCTAGAAGTTTCACTGGAGCAAATGGTAAAGTTGTTTGAGACCACTAGGTGGTGATATTACATTATGAAAATGATATTCTTCTAAGACTGGAGGCCTCTGGTTGTTTCTGAGAGCATCTGTATACACAGCCAAAGAGACTTCTTTGTGAGTAAATGGAGGAAAAGCTACATTTCACCCTTTACATAAGTGATCTAATTTAAGTGCTCAAGGGGACTGGAAGCTCCTGGAGGGATTGGGCTGTGTCTGTTGTGTCATGCTTATAGCCCCAGCTTATAGCTCCAGCATGTAGTAGGCACTCAGTAAATGAATGAATGAATGAATGAATGAGTCTTTGAACAATTTAGATTCTCATTAGAAGAACCATTTCAAGAGTGTGGAAAATTCTGGAACATGCACAGAGGCCTAGGATTTGGGGAAGTTGGGGGCTATTGATGGTCCTGACAGATCATCAGCTGGGCAGAGACTCAGGGGGGCAGCATTTGGGAAGGTAGAAACATCAAAGGCTATCTGAGGCTCTTATATTGCTTTGTGTCTCCTAAATTTATCTTGATGAGATTTCCCCTGTTTAATATAGGGGGGGTGTAAACCAACAAATTTGGATTTTTTTCTTGCATCTGTATTACTTCTAATGATGGCTCTGCCTTGGAAAGGATCTCCAAAAATAACTTACTCTTCTCTGCCTCTCATTCATTGGTACAGTTGTTCATTCAGTAATTTATTTATTGTTCATTCATTCAGTCCACAAATATTAATTGAGCACCTATTATGTGCAAAGCACTGGTCTAAGCTGTGTGATCATCTCTGACCTTTTCCTATCATGGCCCCTTTGAGTTCAGGGAATCACCAAATCCTATTAGCTATAGAATCCAAATTTATGCTCCTCTCTGTTCCTTCTGCTCTTACCCTAGTCCAGGCCTCCATCTTCTTTCATCTGAGTCACTGCATCAACCCCTGATCTTTACTGCTCCCATCCATTCTCCCATCTTTCCAATGTGCAAATATGGTCATGTTACTCCTTTCCTTAAAACTCCCCCTTGGGGACTTCCCTGGTGGCGCAGTGGTTAAGAATCCGCCTGCCAATGCAGGGGACATGGGTTCAATTCCTAGTCCGGGAAGATCGCACATGCTGTGGAGCAACTAAGCCCATGCACCACAACTACAGAGCCTGAGTGCCACAACTACTGAAGCCCACGCACCTAGAGCCTGTGCTCCGCAACAAGAGAAGACACCACAATGAGAAGCCCATGCACTGCACCAAAGAGTAGCCCCCGCTTGCCACAACTAGAGAAAGGCTGCATGCGGCAATGAGGACCCAAAGCAGCCAAAAATAAATAAATAAATAAAATAATTTAAAAAAACCTACCAAA